GCATGTTCACGGGCAACGCGTACGTCGTGGTCACCCGCGCCTTCGTGCAGCACATCTTCGAGGACCCCGCGGCGCAGCAGTTCCTCGAGTGGGCCAAGGACACCTACAGCCCTGACGAGCACGTCTGGGCCACGCTCAACCGTGTGCCCGGTGTGCCCGGCGCCATGCCGCCGAACGACAAGTTCCAGCTCTCGGACATGAACGCCCTGCCCCGCCTGGTCAAGTGGGAGTACCTGGAGGGGGACACCAGCAAGGGCGCGCCCTACCCGCCCTGCACCGGCCGACACCAGCGCGCCGTCTGTATCTACGGGGTGGGCGACGTGCCCTGGATGCTCCAGCAGCACCACCTCTTGGCCAACAAGTTCGACCCCTTGGTGGACGACGCCGCTATCCAGTGTCTGGAGGAGCACCTGCGGCACAGGGCCCTCTACGGCAGGGGGCTCTGAGGGGAGCCGCCTCACCCTCGCCAGCACCTGTCTCCTTCCGCGGGCGCGTCCAGCGGCGGAGCCTCAGGGGCCGCGCCGGGGGCGGGAGCGTCGCGTCGTGAGGCGAGAGGGGCGCGGGCGCGTCACCCGCGCTGGCGGAAGGGTCTCCTCACACGGCGGTCCCCCGAGGAGACGGGGAGCGGCCGAGCGCGGTAACTGACGGTCGGGACGGGACGGGCCGGGCGCCCAGGGACCCTGGACCGAGGGACAGGAGGGGCCGCGCACCGAGCCGCACGGTGTCCTGTTCTCCTCACACAGCCTGCGGGCAGGCGGGGCCAGGGCACGGGCCGCGGAGACTCCGGGTCCCGCTTCAACCGTAGCTGAAACTAAAATGGTAATTGGTTTTCTACACCGCACCTGCTGCACGGCTGAGCCAAACAGCTGGCAGCTGCTTTTGTACTGCCTTAAAGTCTAGTCTGCCAATACTATTAAAAATCCTTCAATAAACCAAAATACAGTAAATAGATGGTTCCTTGGTATTGTGTGTCCTGTCCTCCTCTGAGGAGAACGGGTTGTGTTCTAGGCAGAGCCATTAAACCGATTGAACATGCCTGCCCCAGTGTTACAGGTGCAGAAGCGGGGGGCAGAGAGGTTGTGTAGGTTATGGTGTGCAAACCAACAGCTTTCCGTCATATTCCTCTTCCAAAGAAAGAGACTTTTGCTAGGCAGTTAGTAATGTAATTGCCATATCCAGTGGTGTGTCTGGCCTTTCAGATGAACAAACCAGTCATCCAATACATTGTTGTTTCTCGAAGTTTCTAGAAGCTGAAAGAAAGATTTGTGAACATCTGTATTTCACCTGCATGTATTTTTCCCACCTTCTCATATTAAAGCCAGGCACTTTCCATGGGTCCAAAAGGTTTTCACTACCTATTAATGCTGAGGGATTAATTCAGTTGTCTTTGTACTACCACCCCACCCACCCCCCCACCCCCTTTTGTCAGAAGACACCTTCATAAATTCAAGGTCTCTGGTGGGAAATTTGGAATATATAATGATTTATACAGAATAGCACCTGAAGCAATGCTGTAGCATGAGGCTACATTTAGGTGAAGTTACAACTGCAGTCACACAGATATTTAAAACAACTATTTAAATAGGATGAGAAGAGGAAGTAACTGATGTAAAAGGTGCGTTATTGCAGGGGTTTAGACATCGTAAACTTGGTTGGGAAATTCCAATTCTTAAAATATGGTGACTTCACAGCAAAAATAGGCAAAACCTCCAACTGCTGGCAAGAGAAGCTCCCAGGTATCACTTGAGCATTTGTTCATTCAAAAAGAGCAAATCAAGTAATAGGATTGCTGGTCCCAGTGGGAAGCTCTTCCCCACTTCTGTTAATGTAAATGTTTGTAAAGTGAACAGACGTTTGTTACAACAGAGATGGAAGCTTTATGCTAACCTGATAGCAACATAGAGAATTTAAAAATGGTTTCAGCAGCAAATTCAACATGAAATAGCAAATATCTCCATGTCTAGTACATTCTTTTAGAACAAACAAAACTCTGCTGACTCAGGGTAAGAATTCAAGTCTCCCAACATAGAAAGCTGCATCTAACCACTGCTGCCTAATCTGATTATGCTTGTTGGAGCTCTTTTATTTACTTTATATTAATACATATTAGCCCCAAATGGTAAACTACTGCCAGTGGTTCATTGGGGGACTGGAATACATTCAAGCTTCTGGACTAAATGAGGCAGAGCAGGGTCAGTGTGTTTCTGACTATGGCAGAGTAGTGTTTTTTCCCATTGGAAAATGGAGCAAAAAGGTACATGTTCATGCGGGGGGGGGGGGGGAGAAACCAAAAAAACACAAAACAAAACAAGAAATAACCCATACTCCTCTATTCCTATTGCAAGGAACTGCATCAAAAGCAAACTCATCCATGAAATGGATGTTGGCAATATCTAAATAATTTCCTTCTGATCACCTACAGAAAGCAAAAAGGTGTTTGGGGGGTGGAAAGAATCCCAGCCTGAAATAGTGAAACACTGTTGAAAAGAGGCACCTTATTATTTTACAAAAGCACCTGTAAAGAAAGACAGATACTTACAAATTACTTACAGATGTGTTAACAGTTTTTGTTCCCTTCACTCTGTATGTTTAATTCTTCAGCTGTTTCTTCTCTCAGAAATACAAAGTATTGCTTGTACATGCTATTTAAATAACAGTGTTTCTTCTGTTATTGACAGACACTGCCTGACCAAAAAGGTTACAATGGAGAGACAGACAAAAATACTTAGTTCTAGGGAAAACAAAGACACCCCTTCAAATCTGTTCCACCGTAAGTCTCTGGCAAAGCCAAAGTAATTATTTTTTTTTTTTTTAATGTTACATGTTGAAATCTATGCTCTTCCTGGTTAGACATTTATGCACATTTGAAAGAGCTTGCCTATAGAACAGGAAGGTCTCAAGTGAAACCAGTGTAACAAAAAAAACAGCTTGGCAACACACTAGAGGGACAGCAATTACCTAAGAACATAGCCTATGCAGCCTTCTCCATTCAGAGATCACCTATTTGTATGAAAACAAATTCTGGCATTATCTGGAGATGCAAACAATTTTAAACTTCAACAATTTTGATTCAAAGAAAATTTTCAGTTTCTGTTGGTGCTGTTATTTATCTCAGATTATTTGTTTCCAAAACCAAAGGTGTATCTTTGTGCAAGTTTATTTTCAATTCACCCTCTTCTTTTAGTAGTGACTTAGTTTCTTCTGAAAGAACAAATTCAGAAGGTGAACTAAGACAAAAAGTTTGTTACAAAGGAATACTCTCAGCAATTCCTCTTCCAAAGACATGAGGAATGTCAGGTTTATGAGTACAGTCACATGTCAAAGCAGCAATACAGAAAAGAAAAAAAAAAAAAAACAAAAACCTATGTTTCCTTACCATTTCAAATGACAACAAAAAATGTCACTCGACTCTGAGAACTTTGTATTCCAGAGATCTCAAAGCATCTTAGAACTAAGATAGTTAGCATCTCAGAAAACTGGCAACAGGGCACAAAGATAGGATGGAATTTGCCCAAGTTAGCTGCAGAACTGAAAAAAGAATAACCTTCAAATAGAGCAAGGCAAGCTTTAGCCGAAAGTAGCACTGGCATATCACAATATAGGATCACCTCCAAACAATAGGTTAAACCCCATATAGGCTTAATCAGTAACATCTTGGGCTATCCAAAATGGAAATAGTCATATCAGAAACATTAGTGTTAAATTTATCCAGTGATAAAACTACTATGATTTAAAAAACAAACAAACAAAACCACAAAACCACAAAAACACAACAAAACCTTTTTTTTTTCCATTGAAAACCAGATAAAAAATCTACTTCTGACACCTTTGTCTACAATCAGTTGTTAACTAGCAACCTGAATTTTATACAACCTCCCAGTTGTTCAAGGAGGAAATATACTGCAAGTTGACATTTATCTTTCACAATATGCATAGGAGGAAGTTGAAACTATAATTCTGAAATCAAATAATTGCTTTTAAACTCACCTGGCTTTAATTTATATTTTATTTTCAAGCGGTTTTTCCTTTATTTTTACAAGAACAACCTAATGGGAGCTGAAACTGATATAATAGGTATTTAAATGTAGATGGGTCCATGAACAGCTCTTAACTCCAGTTGGGAAGGTCTGTTTCCTGGCTGCTTTGCATTTCTTTCATACCTGATCATCTCTGAAGTCTCTAAAGGGATGAGTCAATTGAAATAAACTCAGAGGATAGCCGGGAATAAATTCTGAAAAACTAGAAGCAAACATGACCTATAGAGCAAAACATCAGTAAAGTACTTGCAGCCAAGAGTAAAATTGATTCAGGGAACAGGGTTAGGGGTGTTCTTTTCCTTCTGAATGCATCAGCACTAACCATGAAACATTAACTAGACTCTCAGTGAACTATTTTCCACTTCCTTGAAGGGTGCAGGCTCTTTTAGCAGAAGGCAAAAATCAAAATATTAATAGATCTGTGACTTAAAACCTATTAAGCCGCAAGAGCTTATTTATACAGTAAATTTATCTTTCAGCAAAGCTATTTTCCTAAGATCACCCTTTAAGTTACAGTGAAGAAAAAGTCCACATCTGTCAGTACAGCTTAATAAAGTTAAAATGCTTTTTATCATGTTCCTGCTCCCTGCCCCTGGAACGTTTGGAGTACAGGAAAGCAAAACCAAGTCACTAACACCTTGACTGATACACTATCCTCTAAGCTGCTGAGATCCTTAGTATCTGTGTTTCGAGTAACTCTCATCTACCTCATGGTACCTAGTCATTGTGTAAAAGTACATAATGATCCTGATTAAACTTGTCTTCTGGGAATTCATCTCAAGTCCTTCCTGCTCCACACTTTCCTTTAATTTGTGTCTCTCTGATAACATTTAAAGTCAGGTGTTGACACCCCTGAATGAGCAAACAGCTTGCTTCAGATAACATCTGGTTTTGCACACTTGTGGAATTCACAGAACCCTTTTTCTCAGAAGCCATGTTTAAACACAGGCAGTCACTCACATCCACCTCTGTACTGGTGTTTATTTCCTTTTCTTCACCTTCTTCTAGCTAATTTACTTTCTAAATAGAAGCATCCACTCTAGCTTAAGTTCAAGGTGCAAAGGTATCTTTTACGTTCTGCTACTGATGGGTGGAAGTAACTGGGACCTTTCTGAAGAAAAAAAAACAACAAAAATCCCCAAATGAATGAGTCAGTCCATAACACTACAGGCCAAGAAGGACCAAACAGGCAGCATCAAGTATGCTGATGCTGTAAACAAGCAAGATGATTTGTCTTCCACTGGATATTAAAATAGCTTAGTATAATAAAAGTGCAGTTAACACTTTTAGGTGTAAGTAAATTCAACATCTCTTCCAAAACCACCAAGCACATTAAACATATGAATGTGGAGGGATTAGCTGAAATTCAAACACAAAAAATAGCAAGTGGCAAGAAAATTATGGAAAGCAAAGCAATAAAAAGCAGGAAGAATAATGGCACCAGATCCCCTTACCTTCTCTTTGCTCCCTTCTCCTTCGATGAACTGAAACAGCCTTCACAGAAGTAGCAGATCTGGGGCTGGGACAAACACCATCCAAAAAATGTGGTTAGAACCAAAAAGAATGTGACACTTGCTACCAAGCTAGTGTCAAAGCTTTTGTTAAACAGCTCTTGAGGCTTGCAGGAATTAATTCCTCCAGAAGCACAGGCGAGTTTCTCTCCTGCAGTGAGCAGTCTTCATCCCATAAAGTAGATTTTCTCCAAGGCATCATTGGAGCAATTCAAGACATCAGAAAGGTTATTCCCAAGAATTATTTGCACCTCACTATGCCTCAAGAGGCGTTTTCTAAAGGGATGGCAAAGTTAACACTTGGAAATAAAATATAAATTAAAGCCGGGTGACTTTAAAAGCAATTTTGCTGAATAGAGAGCATTGATCACAAAAGTGCAAGTATTCTTTACGTACCCAGGTAAACTCAGTAGTCTGTCTGCATCCAACTTTGAATTCCATGTCCTTAGAAACATCCCACATATGCAAAAATACCAGATACCTGCATTGCCTAACACTGTACAGACAAGGAGATGGAATATGTGTATGTAAGCTCATTTTAGAAACAGTAAGTCAAACTTGTAAGAAAGTATTTCGTAAATTAAATACAGAGCACATGGAAAACAAGGATGTTTATAAGTTGGATGTTTTAAGTTGGGGCTGTTCAGCCTGGAGAAGAGAAGGCTGCATGGAGACCTCATAGCAGCCTTCCAGTACCTGAAGGGGGCCTATAAGGATGCTGGGGAGGGACTCTTCATTAGGGACTGTAGTGAAAGGACAAGAGGTAATGGGTTAAATCTTAAACAGGAGAAGTTTAGATTGGATATAAGGAAAAAATTCTTTACTGTTAGGGTGGTGAGGCACTGGAATGGGCTGCCCAGGGAAGTTGTGAATGCTCCATCCCTTGCAGTGTTCAAGGCCAGGCTGGACAGCCTTGGGTGACGTGGTTTAGTGTGAGGTGTCCCTGCCCATGGCAGGGGGGTTGGAACTATACGATCTTAAGGTCCTTTCCAACCCTAACTGTTCTATTCTATGATTCTAAGGATTGTGCCATGAGTGGAAAACTAGTCTGCAGAACAACAGCTTAATGCATTTGGCATAACCAAACAGAGCTAGCTTATGTAACCATAAAACTTTAATCTGTGATACTAAAACATTAACCAGCTATGAAATAACGCTTCTAATACGACCAATCATTAGCCAGGCAGAGCAATACAAGAAGTTCAGGGTACATGAACTTTCTTGTCTGCCTTTTCTTCAGTTGCTGTTTGTGTTTGATAAAACTTTTCTTGTTTTGTGTGAAAGGCTTTCTCAGACTTTCAACTTGAGAGGAAGGGAATGTCTACATTACAGAAGCATGTCTTATATCCACTTTTTCTTACTCATGTTATTTCACCTAAAACATTCCCTTACTCTCCATTTATGCATGGTCTCTAGCCTTCCACACAGACTAAATCACACAGGTTCCCCCGGCACACAGTCCCTTCACAATCACTGTGGCCAGGAACAGATTGTTTCCTATCCCCAGCCATTCGAGTTGCTGTGTTATTTCTTCTAAGACTACATTATTATTAGCAAAAGGAAAAGTCTTAGAATAGTTCAGAAGCATCCATAATATTTTATTTCATATATTAATATATTTTTAATATATGTCATCTGTGTCACTTTTTGCCACTCAACTAAGGATGAAAAACAAGCTGATCATCAGTGTCACTTCAGCATTTGCAGTTTCAGTACAGTAAGACTCCAGTACAGAGCATTTACATCCATTTCAGAATGTCCATCTCATTTTCAAATGCTTCCTTTCAAGGCAAGGCAATAGTCAAATCTGTTTTCACACTGAATAGGAACCACATAAGTAGGGTATACAATTCAGTGTTATGGTTATGCATCAGCACAGGGAGTATCCCATCACCTCCTTCCAAAGGACCGCATCTAGAGCTTCAATGAGACCACTGCTTTTTTTTTTTTTAAGCAAGTCAGTAAAGTTGTCCCAAATTATGAACATAATCATTTCTGGTTCCTGCTCACATTGGTCTGAATTTCACCAACTACTAAGTAGGAGACATCTTTGTCAACAAAATCATTTTTCCTTTAATTTGTATTTTTTCTTAGTGTGTATATATATATATATATATATTCATTACCTTATTTTCTTTTTCAGTTAACAGCTAAGGCAGCACTAAGGCTGGGAGTGCTGAAGTAGTAGTAGGCGACTGCTGAAACACAGAAGTCTGATAGAGAAGTACAAACGAAACGTTAACATAAATCTATTCCACACAATAACCGTACATCATCAGTACAATTGTGCTACTCTATTAAATTTGCTTTTAATGGAAAAATGCTATAATAAATATGCTAATGCAAACTTAATTGGAACAAAATAAGATATATAATCATTTACACTGGGAGGGAGTCCAAAGGCTACAGACAACTGGAGATTGAGAAGTTTCTGTCCAGAGAGAGGAAGAAACAGCAGAGTTGGAGCCAGAACAACAAACTTTTATACTTGCAAGGGCTGCAATTCAGCTTACCACATAATTATTAGAGAACAAGAAGTGTGTAAACATAGAAGGTTGAGTCTGATGTAGAAAAAGAGAAAACCACAGATATACATTTACATCCTTTAAGATAACAGCCTCCACAGATAGGTCGTGTGCTGTTCAAATGAGAGCAACTCTGTTGTTCTGGTTTCAAAAATGGTTACTTACCAACCTGCAGTTTGTAGTGAGGGACTTTTGGCATAGATATAAGACCAAAAAAAATTCATGGTAAACACAATACTTAGAACAGTCTTGCAAGCAAGTTTGTGAACTCCTTTCTCACTTGAAGTGAGAGAAGCGGAAGATAACCAAACATGATATATATAGTTTCATGTCCAAACGTAGGATTTAGAGAACTGTAACATGTCAGTCTGGAAAGGCATTAGGAGAGACACTAAAACTTTATTACTTTAATTATTTGACTGGGCCACTGACATGTAGAGGAAAGTTTAATTTCATTAATTCAGATGTAAAATTATGCTCCATTTTCATCACAAACTAAAGATTTAGACTGATCTGAAAACAGTTACCCCTTTTCTTCTGTATGGTTTCCAGTTTCTAGTGGTCTTTGAGTAGCCTAGTGTCAAAAATAAATGGAATTTGACAGTACTGAAGCAACAGGCATTCCTATGACCGCACTGGAACAGTCCCTGTCAGCCAAACAAGCTGTCAGTATATTATATTCATACTTCTAGTGAAGAAACTATTTTCAGGGTTTCTTGATTGGAGTTATTTAATGTGTAAGTCTAAAAAGAACAAAGTTATCTATTTGATATCTAAAAATTCATAACTCAGCTCCTTCCCTGAAATCCTGTTGGCCAGGGGTCCCACTAAATGTATTCCACATAAATTAAAAATTAGAAAAACAATAAACCAAGCAACACTACATTTGTTGAGGATCTAAAACAATCTTAGGAGACTCAGTTTCATTACTTCAATTTGATTAGCTAAGCAATAACTTTAATACTTGGGTTACTGTATTATTACTATTAGCTGAGAATACCAAATGGGCAAATTTATAGATAGAAAGATGCAGTAACAAACAGACAAATATACTGGCCAGCATCAGCTGCTTTTGTTGATCTCCTCCTCCATCCCGAAACAGCCATTTCCTGCAATACTTACCAGTGAAACCACACTCAGAACCCTGTAAGTGGATGACCTCTGCATTAGCAACATGACTCTAAACACACTTAGACAATATTGAGAAAATTTAACAAATATATTAATGATTGGCTTTAGACAGTTTTCCAATGATCACTCATTCGCAAGTTTTTTAAATAAAAATTTATTACAGAAATTACTTTGAACAAAAGAAGAAACCCAAACAAAACCAACAGTATCTGTTCTAATTTAAGAAAACCCCAAAAGTAATATTGTATTCATGCCCTATAGGGTGAACTGAAGAAATGCTACAGGTATTTCTTTCGCCATCATTCTGAGACTTCCTAGCATGGACTAACTCGCATCTGCATCACAAGAATTAAGAATGAACACAGTCTCTCTCCATGCTTCTCTCCAGAAAGAGCTGCATATTGAAGTGTTGCAGACAAATTCCAGTCCTGTTCATTCTGCAGTATTGGAACCAGTGTCTAGGAAAGAAAAACCAAAGGGTAAGTAATACATACATCCACTACAGTTGAGTATAATTTAAAGAGAATACTCACTCTCTAATACCTTCCCCCAGCTCAAAAGCATTCCCCAAGCATTTCAGGACATGTTCTGTACCTACCCTACTGCTATTGATGTGGTGGACAAGCTGCCTGAGCTCTTTCAGTTAGCAACATTCAGTTAGCCACCACAAAACTTCAAGGTTGTGCACACACATCATTTGCTATTAAGGCATTAAAAATACAATAAGCTCTACTCTGACTTGCAGCGATACACAAACAAGTTTACTGTGGAAGGCCACAAGCACATCTGGCTAAATCACACAACCTATGAAAGAGAAAGGGGTTTGCACATCCAGCAGCATAAGCTCCTATGGAGTGTGGGTTATAGTTCATTACACATCTTGAAATAGATGCAGGAATGAGCATGATCTTCATAAAATAACTCAGCAATTCTCTGTTCTGAATTTTTGTCAGAAGCACCAATTTACACCAGTGCAACTGCTGGTATTACTATCATCACTGCTTTCTTGTTCTTAGAGCTATGGGAAAAATACATGACACATATGGAGAAAGACAAGTCAGTGTTTATGATGTGTCTTAGCAAGTCAGCTGCTTGTGGGGAAAAACGGCTGTAATGTTAACAGCAACTTTAAATAAGGTGACACCATTTCCTACATCTTTAGCGATACTCTGCCACAGGGATGGTTTTAAAAGTTGTAAACCAGCCTGCCACAAAAGTCATTACATTACTTCTTCTGGTAAGGAATTTCAAGGAACACTGACAAAGGTAATCCAGCCAAGCAGATATGGGACATAAACTCCCATAAGCAGTGTACATACAGTGGATCTGTTGAGCAGCATCTTTTAGTATTATTTGCAAATGCTGGCATAAACTTGTCATGTCCTCTATGATCAAATCCAGCAGACAACTGCTTAGTTTTCTCTGACAAGTGGTTGCTCAGACTGAAGAGGCTTTCCTTGAATTCAATAAAACATGGTGCTTTTCTCACAACCAGGTTAATACAAGAAAAATCTCCCTACAGAAATTCAATGAAGATTACTTAGAATCATAGAATCCTAGAATAGTTAGGGTTGGAAAAGACCTTAAGATCATCTAGTTCCAACCCCCCTGCCATGGGCAGGGACACCTCACACTAAACCATATCACCCAAGGCCTCGTCCAACCTGGCCTTGAACACTGCCAGGGATGGAGCATTCACAACCTCCCTGGGCAACCTATTTCAGTGCCTCACCACCCTAACAGGAAAGAATTTCCTCCTTATATCCAATCTAAACTTCCCCTGTTTAAGTTTTAACCCGTTACTCCTTGTCCTATCACCACAGTCTCTAATGAAGAGTCCCTCCCCAGCATCCCTACAGGCCCCCTTCAGATACTGGAAGG